CATCCACTCATTATGAAAGGGACGAGGCTCCTAAATGAGCCCTGACCATTGCACAGATGTTGGGTGGGGTTTCCAAAGCCATAATGGGAACCGGGCATCCGAATTCCCTACAGGTTAGTGGTATCTGACTTACAGAATTCTTTAGTCAGCACTGAAAACAGCTGTAATGTTTTAAAATATCCAGTCCCATCTGACTTTGGTATGGTACTGTGGCCTGTAAGATGCTATCAGTTTCACTGACTTTTGCTCTCTAGCCTCTCTGTAGAGTAATTGTGTAGGAAGCAGACAAGATTAACCCATTACCCCTGGAACATTACTGTTGTTATTCCTCATGTATTCTACTATCATGGTATGAGACTCAGTGTCTCAGTAGTTTAAGCTAAAACAGGGGAAGTTCAGGTTAGATATATGGAAGAAGTTCTTTACTGTGAGGATGGTGAGGAACAGGCTGCCCAATGCTGTGGTGAATGCTCCATCCCTGGCAGTGTTCAAGGCCAGGTTGGACAGAGCCTTGGGCAACATGGTCTAGTGTGAGATGTCCCTGCCCACGGCAGGGGGCTGGAACTGGATGATTTAAGGTCCTTTCCACCCCAGACCATTCTGTGATTCTGTGAAAGGAGGTCTCCTTAAAACGATAAAATAACAGCTTTTGTAATGACTTAAAACCTGTGCTGTGAAACATGGCATTTTCCACACCCAGTCATAGAGCCAGCCTCCTAAAGAGTAAGTGAATTTAGCAGGAATCCTGATACAGAACTCTCTTAATTCTCCTTGATGGCACATCAGTTCTCAGCTGAAGTTCACTGAGTTTTAGTCACTCCTGGGATCTAAGGGTCTTTCTTAGGCATCCGGAAAACTGGGAGAGGGAGCTAACACTGTCATGAGCAAAGGCTGTGCTAGAGGATTCACATCTGCTGGGGTAGAAACTAGAGACTGCTCAGCTTTGGGCCAGACCAACATCATGGAAATAGAAGTTGAAAGCAGTGATTATAACACTTCCTATTAACTGAATTCTCTCACCACCTGAAACTTATATCAAATCCCTGCTACGAGGGTGCCTGTGTCAAAGACCAAATGAGAACCATGTGGAGGATCTTTGGCTGTGTGATCATGCTTATTTGTTTAGTTTCATCTAGGGAGGAGCAATGGTCCATAAATCTGTAATTACTACTGTATAAGCCACTGCTATATGCTGTAGCTGGAGCAAGCTAGACACAATATGAGCCTTTCATATAATAGAGACCATTGGCTGTGATGCTGATACAGTGAAAGACTGAGTCACTAAATTTAGCCAAGAGAATTATATGATGTGGGTTCCTGCAACAGGAGGAAGACAACCGTGATGTTCCAGCTGTATGTGTCAAGTACTTATAAAAACAATTAATGTTCCAGCATTTCCATTTAGTCAGTTGTTTTCATTCCAGCTCTGCATGGTAAAATCTTTCTAATACTCTACATTTATTTTTCCTGTTGTCTAATATCTCCTGTGAAAATGAATCATACAAAATTCTGTAGGTTTGATATTCAAGCCTTAAAACATGACGTAACATCTCCATGTACAAGGAGGTTCTGATGACTTGTCTTTCAAAAGTTCAGATTAAATAACTTCATTAGAATTAACTTGATTTCTCTGTGTGTGTGTGTTCATAAGGAAGTTCCAAAGGATGCTACACTTTTAATAAATGACAGCTATTTCCAGTAGGAGGGAGGAAAGCATGGCTCTACTCAGCATGCTTCTGTGCATTGTTTCACTACCAGATCACTGAAGTTGTTGATATTTCAGCTTAAAGCACAATGACCTAAATAGTCTGAGAATGTATTTTTCTTACTAAGAATTGTATGTGGGAGCAGACTTGGCCTCTCGATAACACTAAAGCTAAAGTCTCCTGACCTCTCTGTCAGTCAGCCCACACATAGGCTTTTCTAATTAAATCTCCTTATTGGACTTGACTGGGCTATTTCTAACAGTGCAGCTCTCCATAAGGAAGACTGGATCACTTCTCTTGCTGCAAAAGTCACTTTGGATTTCAAAGATACTTGAGCTGAAGGACCCAGGATGAAAGATTGGTGAAATACAGGATTAGATGAACACATGGGATCTTGAAACTGCATTTGTCTGCATTAGAATGAACATTGGCAGAAGTGAGTTAAAAGATGTATGGAGAATGAACAGGACTAGCATAAGGGAACTGGGAAAGAGTATTGCTTTTTTAAAGGAGAAAACAGTGGGCTATTGAAAAGAGTGTGAGGGCTTCTAGGAAACCCAGAGAGAGACAGGACAGTCTAAAGAACTGCATCTGGTGCAACAGGGTGAGTTTGTCATTAGTCAGCCTTTAATGAAATAAACACATTTTACAAAAAAATCCCATACTTAAAAAGGCTCTGTTACCAAACTGACAGTCGAGCTGAATATGTCAGGAGGGGAGACCTAAAAGCCCTGTTATACCTAGCTACCTACCAAACCTACCCGATGACCATCATTGTAACGAGGATGTTACAAGGCTAAGCTGCTGAGTTCCTAGGTCAATATTAAAACCTTTTCTCAAATTCCAGAGGCATATCTTGGCTCAAGGTGTAGCTGAATAGTGAGTGGGGAAAGATTATGTATTTGGCTTTCACTAACATGAGTCAACACCAAAGCCTTTTAAATCTGTCTCCTGTTTACCAGCTCCACGGGCAACAGATTAATACTGGGGTTGCTGTGTACAATAACTGGTTTTCAAAGATATTTAATTTTGTAGATTATATTTTATGCTTTATGATACTGTAATACAGAAGACAGTAATTCACAGTATTATGAAAGGAACCCTGTTGAGCTGAGCATTTCCTGTTGGAGTTACTGAATTTATTGGAGATGCTTGGGTTTTTCCTTAGAATTTGATGGTTTAGAAGCCAATTTAGACTAATTACTTTTTGGGAAGCTGGCCTGTTTGGAATGGCACTACCAAAGTTGGTATACACAACAGGGAAAAAAATTAGTCATCTGCATTTTTATTTGTAAATACTCATTTATATAGAATAATAATTAAAAGCATAAGTTTTCTTGTTTATATTATTTAAATCATTTAGGCATTATATTTAGCACTCAGTGTACAATAGCTTTTTATGGTCTCTTTAACAGACAGAAGCTATGGGATATTGGGTTGATTCTTCAAAACCACTATGTCTCACGGTCCATCAGTGTTAACAGCCTGGTATACGTCTATGCCAAGGCCATTCTCCACAAACAGTAGCCCATTTAACATCAGTATTTCACAGGGATTGACTTCTGGAGTATTTCATTTTTTGGAAGAGAACAAAGGAACAAAGAACATTAGCTGGGAGAAGATGCGTCTGTGTCGGGATTGAAATATAGGAGGACCAGTACTGAGTAAAGTGACCTAAAATACTTTTAGATGAGTTATAATCCATTTAATGGATGAACTTTTCACATTTGCTGAAAAAAATTATATATATATATATATAAAAATATATATACACTATATAGATATCATAAGAAAGATTCACAGGACTATTAAGATCAAGCTAAGGAGAACCAGGATGCTGTCATTGTGGAAACTGGATGACAGAACTAGAAAAACCCACATTTCTTTAACCAAACTCACTGTTATATTAATATGATATATATTGTATATATGAATATGATATATGTACTGTATATATACTGTAGCTCAGTTTTACTGCATATGTGGACACACATAAAATCATACCTGTTATTAAACAAGAAATTTTGGGAGAGTGCTTTAAGTTTTAAATAGAATCAATTTGACATTGATTTCCAGGAGCAGTCTCAGGAAAAATTAAATCCAGTCTTGGCCAAGGAATGACAACTGCTGCATCTATAGGTAGTGCAAAGAAAGCATCCTCTGTTGAGCTGTACCACTAAGATCTGGGTTTCTTAAAAAGTCCTTAAACCTTTTTTCCATTACCAGTTAGCTAGGAAAGGTAAAGACAATGATTGAAAACACACTTTGATTTCTCCATTTCACTTTTTTATATCTCATCAATTAACAAATATCTTGATTCTTCTGTTCTTTTGATTGTTTAGGATTGAACAGGATATAAGTGTAAGAACTATGGATGTCAGTTTTTCTTCTAGCTACGTAAAATCTGTGGAAACCTGGATACATGGCAGATAGCAGGAGCTGCTAATGCACTGGCAGAGGTCCCAAGCAGCGAACAAAACCTTATGACTTGTTATATTAAATCATTTCAACACTGCACAAGAAATTTAGGTCCTACTGAAATCAATGGAAACTTTGTGGTTAGTTTCAGAGCAACCTTGATTTCACTCATAGTCCCCAAGTATCATGGACATGTGTATGATAAACTGTCAACTGAGGATTATCTGATGCCAAATGATCCTAGCAATGTACTAACAACCTAACCCAAACTACCTTCAGAGCCATTAGAGGTACCCTACAATGTGCTTTTCCATACACTTCCAAAAATACTCTGTACCCCCCTTTACAAAAGAGACATGTTCCAAAGACAACATATTCTAAACTTTAATTCACATATGCTTCATATTATCTCTCTTGTGTGTTGTGCTTTACCAAAATGGTTTTATATATATTTTCACAGCTGATCATGAGTTGAATACAGCACGTTCATGTGCCTGACTTCACAATAACACACATAATGCATACTTGATTCCCTTCTTACATTGTTCTTCCATGTTCCAACCCCTTCCCTTTTTGAAGTTTTTTCATTTTCTCCAGAATACCAAACCAGGCTCCCACTCCTATCAGCAGCTTGTGATAGGATGAGTAATAGAACAGAACAAGTCAGATATGACATCTAGGAAAGTTAGGCCTCATCAGCTGAGGGACTTCTGGGTTTCAGTGTACATCCTTTCTGGCTGGTACTACAGTGTGTTGGTATTGGGGTAGTTGCAAGAAATAAAGTCCAAGTACATTTGTTTTGTTTTTACAGGTTTTATTGATAATCCATTATTTAAATTTCCATTTCTTTTGACCTAAAATAATAGCTGTAGGGCTTATTTTGTGACTCATCGAACAATTTTCTTGGAAAACTACTTTTTTGAAAGGTCTACTTCAGTTATTCAGAAAGTTAACTAAAGGAAGCAACTTGTTCATCTGGTGTGACACAGTTGCGTGGATGTACAATTGCATGACAAACCCACTGTGACTTTCTATCATCTGCTGTAAGCCACCTCATCTGCCAGTGGCTGGCTCTCTGGGGAGGTAAGTCCTTCACTGGGAGCTTCACTAGGGCTGTTTTCTGCAGATGGTTCTCCATTACTTGCACTTCCTGAAAAGACAATATAATTAAGATGAATTTCATATCTTTGATACAGCAAGCTAGAAGGGATACGCTTTGTCAATGACACTTAAGAGCCCTTTTCTGCAGCTATAAATGTTCAAGAAGCTGTTGTTCTCAGCTTGCAGTCCATTTGCAGGATGCTTTAGGGTAATGGCGTATCATTTAATAGTAATTAAGTATTATGTTTCCAGAATGCTTTAAATAACTACATTTGGAATGCACTCCACTTGTGCAATATTTGTTCTTTCCTTTTTGTATTATCTCCCAATACTCACCTACCAGGCAGGAAGTGTGGGTAACATCTTTTTTTTCACTGTCTGGAATACATAAAGAAGCCACCTCCTATGATAGATGTCTTCTTCATTATTCTGTACCTGTTATGATTTTGGTCTCCAAACCTATTTCAGTTGCTTCAACAACACTGAACTGAGCCAAGAAAGTGACTGATGGTGCTTATTTAATGTATCCTAGACACAGTGCTCACAATGCTGTCCCTCAGACTGAAGAAATCTGTTGTCTAGTGGAGATTTCCAAAAGGAAGGTGTGAATAGAATGGGTAAAAGATGAATGTTAACCACAACATTCCCGATTTGGTCTTGATTCAAGTCAGAACTAAGAACACTGTTGCTTTATTCGGGTTCTTATGTGGCTGCTACACATGGTGTCTCAGAGACAATTGTGAAGGTTTCAGCTTTGCTAGCCATTGAATTTTCCACAGGTGAGGTCCAGTCTGGCTAACTTGGACACATAAAGTATGAATAAATGTCTAAATTCAGGCACATGAGGTAGGCAGACAAGATTTTGAAGACACTAAAGGTAGCTCCTTCCCAGTTGCAACACTGTTTGCAGAGGCACTTACTTTAGGAGGACTGGTTCTGTTTAGATACCAGTGAGATGAGTAAGAGATGTAGACTGGATCCAAGTCTACCTGTCTGGGATGCAGTGAGAGGCCCCTTACAAAGGGACTCACTGTTAGGCAGAGCAGTCCACCACACTATGCAAGGGGAATTTTAGCATTTAGACATACTGTCTGAACATGCATAAATATTATGGAGCTCCTGTTTTTAACTGCAATTCAAGTTGTTAACACATTCCCTGGAAAAAGCCATCCACAGCTTTTTTCCACAATGGCCACACTTCTTGTTTCTCATGTTGATGTTTCCCATGGAAACCATCATGATTCAGAATATAAAGCATGTCTTTGAAATGCAACTATGGGAACTCCATTTAGTAAACCCAAAGCTTTTCAAGCATCATCACGTTCATAATTCCCCAGGTAAACTGCCCCCTAAAATGCAAACTTTACAAACTATTTTTCAAACAGAACTTCAACAGATTTATAGATCATCTGCAATAAAACAGATTCAAACTTTCCTCCGTAATTTGTAAAGTCACTACCAGTAAAGACCATGAAGAATCGTTGCATTTATGCCACAACTTTTGTTAAATTGTCTGAAATTCCAACAACATAGATTTCAATTATGTGTCAGGAAAAGCAATACATTCTGTCATTAAATAGTGCAGTCTGATCACAAAATGAAACACCTACTTCAAAAATGCTTTTACTAAATGGAAAGAGAATTATGGGTAGTAGTTAAGCTGGATCTATACACAACAGCTTCTAGATCTGGCAGTGAATAACCTAAAGACATGTAACTTCAGCTGTATAAGAGATTCTAAATATGAGAGGCTTTATTCCAGAAGCTTCTATTTATGAGTTACCCCTAATTTGACATTTCTAAGCCAAGACATTTCACGTAGCAGTAAACAAAAAATCAAGAAAAAAAAGGGAAAAGCCAGTTGCAGTTAAATTTTGTGAGCACTGGTTTGTCCTGTTAATCTCCATTTCACTCAAATACTGTTTTGTTTTTACTTATAGATCACAGATGATATATGAGGCTGGAGAGATATTGATTTGAAGGAAGAGGAGAGAGGGACAAAACCCTAAACTTCATCACAGTTGGTTGAGATTGCATCAAAATAGACCCACTCTCTCTACAGTTTTGCACTTGGATGTGGATATGATTGTTTCTTTAGCAATGCCTCTTGCTGCCACACTTGTAAACTCCATCTTCTTTGCATGAGGCAACCAATTGCAACCCACAACTGAGATTCAGCAGTCAGAATAAACAGTGTATCATACAGTCCAAAAAACACTATTATGAAACTATATAATTATTAAAAGGCAGGAAACTGTTGTTTTCTCCAAGTATGTGTTAGATTGGATCTCACAGTAGCTGACTGACAAATAGTTCCCCTCAGAATGGATCGCCGGGTATGTCATCCAAATCTCCCAAAACCCCATTTCAGTTCTCTTGACTGAACTCATTCTAGAGTCTCACCAGCCCACTCCTGAAGAATGTAATGGCTGAGAGCAATGCAAGTGATGAACTTATACCAATGGAGTGACACTGCTTTGGCATAAATTTCTGCACAATCTCCTCTTAAAAAGAAATTGAGGGTGCTCAGCCATCAGCACCATACACACCTTCTAGATGAACTGATGGAAGTTACGAATCTTTTTTCACAAGGAGGATGGCTCAGATTGTTATCAAGTGACTGATAGCATGAGAATCTGTAAGTTACCATCCCATGCTGTTGTCTGAAGCAGAAACGGCTTTCATGTGATGGTTATTTAAATAGAAGCCATACAAGAAGCTTCACTATTGCAGGGTCAGATGAAATTAAAGATGACTATCAAAGCAAGGTGACAAGCCAATGGTGCTATGAGATGGAATTTAGCCAAAGTCAGCTGTGTAGCTTCATTACCATGGTGCTGAGTCCAAGCAAATACTGGCTTGAAGAGCAGGCTGTATTTGCTTGCAAAACAACATCCTGACATGTACTTTTTAAACCTTCTCCTTGACAATCTATATTCCATAAATCTCACACTGTGTGGCTTGTTTTTAAATAAATGACTCATCTTTGTGAACTCTTTCAGTGTGTTTTTCTCTTCCTTTCTCAATTTTAATGTTTAATATCCAAGTTCTTGGTTTTGGCCAGTGACGGAGGCAGGATATTGAGCTAGGCAAACCATTGGACTGAAAAATACATGAATGTTCTGCTTTTATGCAATTTTGGATGGTTGAAACCTTCTCCATCTCAAAAACAATCTGTTCTGGTACGTATTTTCCCACCTTTTGTTGGGGGTTTCTGTAAGCACTGGGAATAGCCTCTGTCCGTGGTGCTCAGTCAACAGTTGCTCTGACAGAGCTGTGACTTCAACTCATTGTGACACTACACAGTCATAATGATGTATGAATAATTCCCCAAAGATCTAGAAACTATAACCAGGACTCTCTAAACACCACAATCAAGCTTTTCAAATTAGGAATATCTTGACCAGCAGAAAGAGAGATCAAAATAGCCCTTCTGAGCTTGAAAGACATTGTGGGATACCAGGAAATGGATGAAGAGGCCTACAGCAATATCTTGAGTCCACTTTTGAAGAAAAATGAGTAATGATTCAGGTTTTCTCTTGACCAAGAGCATTGATGCTTTGTGTTTGTACCAGAACCGTCAACTTAAATGTTCTGAGACACTGTAGTTTTGTGTCACTCAAACATCAGCCTCAGTCCATTCGAGATGGACTGTCAGGCATAGATAGTCTGAGTAGCTTGGTGTCTTAGAGAGTACATTTTGTTCTCAGAAGTGCAACTGGCCTCCAGAGCAGAAAGGGCCTGGACTGTGTTCTCTGAGATGAGTCCTTAGGACATAAAAAAACACTTGTAAGCTTGCAGGCCTCCAACAATAATTCAAAACATCTCTGCCTGCCAAAAAGGGATGGTTTACTCTTCTTTCCCTGAGGCTATCCAAATTTATTTACAAGACACACAGACATGAAGGGGAGTTTATTTACCAGAGTAAATTGAGTGCTCAGAACAGAGCAGCAGTCTGAAATCTTAGCAGAGTTGGTTTTATTGTCCTAAGCAGTAAGAAAGCAATTGGAGGAATCTCACATCTGCATTGAAATCCAGGGAGACAAATTGATCTATAAGGGGCATAACCTGCACAGCTATAAGAGAAACCAAAGAAGCTGATCCAGTGAGAAGTCGAAGCATGCAGGATCCATAATGAGATGTATCTAAAGCCTCAGTTACAGCTTTACAGTTGGTAGACATTATTGTGCTCCTCCTAAGTCATACTAATCTCAATATGCTCATATTAGGTGCTTCCAACAGACAAAAGAGGCCTGTAGACCTAGTCTTCCAATTTAGTCAAAGTTATATTATGACTGCAAATAGTATCAAAAGACCATTATTCATCATATCTTTTGTCATTGTGGTAGAAAGATCTCTCTAGCTCTAAATCCAGGACAATGAAACTTTTTTACACACTATCTGCTGTACTACATCCTTTCAGTCTCAGGAGAGTCTTAGCTATATACCCTGGACAATGCAAAATGTTTAATTTATGAAAAGTATTTTTACACACTGACATAACAGCACTAAAGTCAGAGGAAATCATTAAGCAGAGAATTTAGGTTTTATTTAATGACAGGAAACATTCTGCTCACCTGTGAGTGCTCTTAGTCTTCTGATATAATCAGACCAAAAGGAACAGTCTGCTTTTTTTAATCCTTTAAGAGTTGGCAAGGAAACAGTGAACTCCTTGTAGTTATTGCCATCATCATTTGGCAGATACATAGGCCAGAGAGGCAACATCTCTGACATTCTCCTTGAGAAATTATGAGGATAGTTTGGATTTCTAGGAGAATGGGAGAAATGATCATTAGAAAACAATGAGGTGAACAGTAAAATGCAGAAGGAAATCGGCTAGTTCAAGGAAATGCATATCCAGTCCCTCTGACCAGCAGGGTTGGAATTCAGTCCAGACTGGTGAATCATTCACAGTGTCTCACCTGCAGTAACTTGTTCACTTCCTAAGGAACAGGAAGTGTTTGAACAGACACAGGCTTATTAACACCCTCAACAGCCCCTGTCTCAAAGAAACCGAAGGTCCTCTAAAAGTCACAGTTCCCACACTAGCTTTCCTGAGATATTCGTTCTTGAGCATGGCCATAGAGCCACAACACAGTAAAGCTGAGGGTTATTCACATAGTTGGTAAAGGGTGCAGTACGTCTCATATGCTTTCCCCTTTCTTCTGAAAATAAGGGAACTCTTAGCCAAGAGACTTCAGAACTGGGGTTCTAGAAATAAGCTCTGGAAACAACACCAAAGCCTTTGTAGCCTCTATGTATTTCAGTTGAATTTGCAGCTGCTGTGAAGCTAAAATTCCTATTACTTCTAGCTAAGTGTCATACTACAGATCTTTGATATCTGCTTGACAACTTGGCCATGACTTCCTATCAAAAAAAAGTCATGGCCAAGTCATTTTCATTTCTTGATAGGACAAGAGGAAATGGCCTCAGCTGTGTCAGAGGAGATTCCCTGGAAGTGTTCATGAGTATAGATGAGGCTTTTAGTGACATGGTTTAGTGGTAATCTTGACTCCGATGTGGTAATGGTTGGACTTGATGATCTTAAAGGTCTTTTCCAAACTAGTTGATTCTATGATTCTATGATTCTAAAAATGCCCCCTCTTTAGGACTACAAATTGCTAGAGGAAATGGAGGTTACCTGAGTGAGGGCAGGATCTGGACTACATTCCCTCTACTTCTTGCCCCTTCTTTAATCACAGCGATTCTTAAATGTCACATACGTACCCAGAGTTCACAAAATTGGAGATATACTGCATAATTTGCAAGGAAAGGCTCTTTTCTTGCAGTGTAAATTGTCCTTCGTACTTTGGGTAGAATGGCAGTCCAAATGCATACTGAACATCCAACAAGAGCTCCTGACCTGAACTGAAAAAAATATTTACATAAAGATAATCAAAAGCATTATCTATTTATTTTGGGGGAGAAAGGGAGCTAATTATATTCTGAAAATAAAGCAAAGTTTTAAACCAATGACCATTAGTTAGAGTGTGGTTAGCTGTGGCGCTTCTTGAAATCAGAACATGAAAGAAGAGCAAGCAATAGAAGAATTGCCATGAAGTTAATGGAAGACAGGAGGGCACATTTTCTAAGTTAACTGGAAATATAAGAGAAAGTGATAGAGGGAGAAAGCCACTTGGCTATTCCTGAAATTCTTGTTAAATTTTGTACAGATTTTCACTAAAATGAATTTCAGAAAGTGGAAGCAAGTGGTGACATGGAATCTGGCAGCCATGATGGAAGGTTAATTATGGTTTATTTCACAGACTTGGAATAAAATCCTGGCCCCTCTTAACAGCAATTGGAGTTTCTCCATTGAGTTCATTTGGGCCAGGATTCTGCCCCAGATCTTTGGATAGGGAAAGAGGTAATAGGAGATGTTTATAAAGATTTCTCTTAGACATAGTTTTAATCTAATTTCTCTGCTGGCTGGGTGGTTTTGGTGCATACAGTCTGTTCTCCCCAAGTTTTATATGTCAGTCAAGTCAAAATCACTTGAGATAATTACCTAGATCAGATTTAAGAAAGAAAAATTGTTGTGAAGTTCCATGTAATAATTAACACATATAAAAAGGAATATTTCAACAAGTCAGACAAAAGACTGGCCAAGCAAGACAACACTTGTAGGACCTAGTAGCAAAGGTTACACAACTCAACATCTTCAAGTCCTGCAGAAAAACAGTGGCCAGCTTCTACTAATAAAGTTGTAACTAAACTATGCTCAACACATAGCTTTAAACCACAGCGCAGAAGGAGACATTTCTGGTACAGTCCAATCCCATTTTCTGCATCCCACATCTAGACAAAGGTCTTATTGACTTGGTTAAAGGCAGACAACATCAGGGGACCTGGGAGAAGGAACAGATGTGAGACAGGAATAAACAAATCCCAGATCCACTCAGCAAGATTCCATCTGCAGTGGCTGCAGAGGCTGTTGTCAAAATGTGGCACAACTGAAACAATTTTATCTTTGGATAAATGAAACGCAGCAGTTTTGATATGACTCTGATACTGCCTCTAATATGGAGCAAAGCTTGTAGTCCAAATGTTATGGGCAGGTGGGTTGAAAGCAAGATGACTCCTTTACATTTTATGAGTGGTGGCACCAAAGCCCCTGTTTTGAAAAACAAACACACAACCCTCTAAATGAAATACATCTTTGGTTGTATTTTCCTTGGTCTTATCATAATACCTCAGTAATACTTTGCATCTGGAAAGTGAATTATTCACAGATTATTCACCAAAAAAATGTAGAACTGAAACAAGATTAAAGCATATTTTTGTTCCCCAAATGTTTATAGAAGGATTAAGCAAGATCATAGTTTAATAATTTTGCTTTAAAAATAATTTGCTTGGCCCAGTATATTACAGCAATATTTAGTGTCAGTATTGCAGCAAAGCCTCTATATTCTTAAAGGATCTATTTCCTTTTCAATGAAAAGTCACTTCTGAATAGAATAGAGGACACTGAATTAGTTGAGATCCAATAAGGGACAAATGTAGCCATTTAGGGAAGGCATAGCAGAGATGAATTTATCTTTAAATCTAAAACAAGTGAGCTGGGACTGAGGGTTTTCCCCCACATGAGTGTGTGTTCCCATGTTTCTGGAGGTGAAAACTGTCAAGGTCACATCCAGAGTAAAATTCAGCAAACTCCTGAACACAGAACTTAAATTATCAGAATTTAAATTACCCATAATTATCCAAATTGAAACCTATACAACCACAATGGGTTTGATACAGAGACATAAGAAGTGGTACAAAACTCTACAATTTCATGGGCTGCTTTCAGTATTTCCAGTTGACGGTACCACACACCCGGGCAAATATAGATAGCAAGAAGATGAGAAAGAAAACATCAGGTTAAGAGGGCAAAAAGGTACATAAATATATGCACAGACACTAAAGAAAACTATAAAACATCTAGATGGCAGCTAGATGGAAAATATCAGGGGAACATTTCTGCATCCTCCCTCTAATTCTGATCATCGTCCATTACTGCCAAAGGGGAATGCAATATGGCCAGATATACCCAAACAAGGATTCTGGAGTTTTATAGGAGCTCTGTTTGTACTCACTAGAGCACCACATAGTTGACACTGTTTTCACTGGAAGAAACGTGGAGTAAGGGGAAAGAGAGAACTGACAGGTAAGCATGTATAGCTTCACTGTTGTACACTGCTTGCTCTGCAGGGAGGTTTTTATGTCTTGAGCTGCTCCAGACTGCACTCCTGACACTCCAGGGTGCCACATAGGTGATTTAACAGCATCAGCTCTAAATGGAGAAATGCAGACCCCAGCAACTGGTGAGCTTCAGAGGAAAATGTGATAAAAGGGAGGACTGCAGAGACAGTGGCAAAAGAGATTTTTAAAGTGTTTTTAAGGAAGATAAGCTAATAGCAACTAACTTCCCCTACTTCCCCTTTTTCAATGAGCAGATCTGTCATTTTAGTAACAGTAGTGTATGTAGTTACATGTAAGGATGAAATCTTGGCTTGGTGACTTCACAGGACTCCCTTCAGATCTTTTCTTAACAAGATGTCAACAATTTTAGAAGCAGATTCTCAGCTCTTGTTCTGTGACAGTCCGACAGACTGGGAAACTGAGCCATAGGAAAGCTAGGAGCCAGACTCTACCACTTTGTTCCCACTGAAATGAGCTCTCCTTGGAGAATTATTACTTCATTTCATAAGGAGGTGCTACTAGAGGTCAGTTATCCAGTTTACAGAAAAACAGGTGGTAAAATCTGAAGTTTTGTGACATTCATAAGCCAGTGATTCAACAGCAGACCCTGAAATATCACTTCCTGTGATATTATCCAGTGCCAACCCATTTAATTGGGAAGGTATTGGTTCTGAGAAAATTTTCCTTAAGCCTAAGATGGAGTTTCCATTTAAATGTTTCCAAGTAAGAAAGAAAAGGATTTCTTAGCCATCAGATACTCCACTGCACTCTCCATTGAACTGTGGCCACTTTCACATACAAAGAACAGCTTCAACAGGGAAGAGCAAAAGATGAGAATGTCAGAACTTAGAAAAAAACACCCAGGTTATGGCTGATTTGGTTCAAATTCTTGTTCCAAGTCAAACAGAGCATAGATGTAACCCCAGATTTCCAACTCTTGAAGTTACTATCTTAACCACAAAATTTTGGAACAGTGAAAAAATAAAAGCAACACCCCTTAAACCAACCCTCAAAAATTTTGCTTGCAGAATGGAATTGTCATTAATGGTATCCATAATCATGGCAGCCAGAGCAGAAGAACATGATCTGCAGACCACCATGCTGTTATATGTTACATCTGAATGAACAACTTAGAGCTGGGGCTGCAGAGACCTCACATTGTGATCCATTGTAAATTAGGACATAGATCTCATTTTGAACTTTGTCCTTGTTCTAGATCTGGCTAATTATTTCATACTGGAAACTCATTTTGATGATTAATGACTGACCATAGCCTAAGACTTCTCTCTTTTTTCCCCTTTTGTTGAGAAATAGTCCTTACTCTCCCAATGTAACAATTTCAATAAATCTCAGTCTTTTGAGTCACAGCTTCTATTCTTAGCTGGCTTAATGCTGTTTCTGATTCTTTTTTAAAACTCCACACACAGATAGAAGCCAATAAAAATTAACTCAAAATTCAATCCGATACAGTACCAAAATACCAAACTTCCCACTGCTATCCAATCATTTAAACTTTAAAATAACAAGATAAACAAAATTCTAGCTAGAGGTCAGTCAGAATTACCAGTAGATTACTCAGGATTAAAAAGAAAGCTGAAGAAGAATCAGTTTGTCATTAATGAACATAACAATGGGATGCTTGTTTATCATTCTTTTTAGCTGTGTGGGCCAATAATGATAGATATTTTATCCCTTGTAAAGCACAGATAACTATTTACAGAATACTTTTCTAATATGCGTTTTCTACCACAAGAAACTAATGTGTGGCCATGAGTTTCCTTTTCTTCTTGTGCTTTAAAACATTTTACTGGTAACTAGGCAAAAGAACCACACAAATGGAAATTTAAAGTTGCGGAAGAACTTGACACCACATCTTGAATAGTACATGAGAGGAATTTAATTGGTATTTTCACTTCAAAATCATTCTATCTTCATTGATACAAACAATTTTAGCCAATTCTCTTAACACTCCTTTCTGTATAATTTTTTATATTCAATCTACTGTCCATTTTATGACACAAGAGCTCCCATTTTTACAAGGATACTGGTTTGGCATTCTCATTTTTTGGTTGGTTTTTTTTTAATGAATGAGAAGACTGGGACAGATATAGTCTAGGACCTATATTTTTCAAGCCCAAGTCTGAAAAACGTTGTGTTGTCTCTGTTCAACCTGTCACTTGGCTTTAGTGAGAATAGCTCATTTATATGTTGATTGGATTCAACAGCACAGGTGAAACCCAGACTCACAGAGTTGATGGTAAATCTCCTGTTGATTTGAGTCGAGATAGGATTTCATAAGAACGATGTCCCTGGAGAAGAGAATATGATTCATCTATAAAATGCCACTGCCTGCGTCATCCTTCTGTGTTTATTTTCGATCAATTGATTTGGAATTAATTTTTGCAAGTATTGGAAATGCCGAATGTGGTATTTCCACACATCTACATTCTCTTCATATTAATTTACACATCTACGTTCTCTTCATATTAATACCAGCAGATTTACAGACTAGCATCAAGTATCCTAAGCTCTTAACAGGCCCCATGTCATCAATGATGTGGGAGAGGAGCAGTCTCTCAACACTGAACTTTGCCTGGACTGAAATGTCCATTTCAATTATAAGGAAAAATTATTATATACATACATATATATAGAACACCACACATCTTATGAAAGGAAATAGT